TTAAAAATATTAAACTCAAAAGCCACAAAAAAATTAATGAAAAGTCGCGGATACGTATTTCGGAAACAATGTTACCATTATCAACGCTAAACACATACTGACACCCCGACTAGAAAAAACTCCCTTATATACCCCTAGTGACCTTATCACCTAGTGACGTCATCACTAAGTAATATTATCACATTTTGCCAGTTTGCACAAGTTTAATAATGAATTTTTCAGTGGACCAAGATCCCAATTAATTAAATTGTTTTTTTTTTTTAAACATTTCTATTACTTCTNTAATTAAATTGTTTTTATTTTTAAACATTTCTATTGCTTCTCTGATATTAAGTTCTTTGTAATTATTTACGTTTTTAATTAGTTTTATGGTTTTAATGGAGTNTTACGTTTTTAATTAGTTTTATGGTTTTAATAGAGTGATTATGTGTCAATAAATGTTCAGCCATTGGAGATTTCTCAACTTCTTGATTTTTAATATTTCTTAAGTGCTCTTTAAACCGGACCCCTATATTTCTTTTTGTTTGTCCTACGTAACATTTATTACAACTTTCACATTGTATTTTATAAATTCCTGATTTCCCCCCTTCATTNTTGTATTTTATAAATGCCTGATTTCCCCCCTTCATCTACCTTATCTTTAGGGTTACCTAATAAATCTCTTAAATTATTACTCTTAGATGTTACCAAAGTAATACCAAAATTCTTAAATATTTTAGTTAATCCATTTGAGATGCCCGGATAAAATAAAATTGGTGATCTAATTACTTTTTGTTCCCCCTCGCTGGAGAGTGTACTAGCTGCCCTCCTTTCTTTTTTCCACTTTTGTTTTCGGACTAATTTCAAAATTATGTTTTCGTTATACCCATTAAATTTAGCTATTTCTTTTATAACCACCAATTCTTTATCAATATCTATTTTATTCATCGGAATATTAATTAATCTATAAACCATTCTATTAAAAGCTGACAATTTGTGTTGCCAGGTGTGGATCGATTTGTTCGGAATGTATCTGAACGTATGTGTGTTTTTCCAATAAATTTCAAAATTTAGTTCCCCCTCTGTTCTTTTAACTAATAAATCCAAAAAAGGCAATTTTCCCTCTACTTCTTGTTCATATGTGAATTTAATCGATGGGTAAAAAGAATTTAAATGTTGTATGAAAACCCCCCNAAAGAATTTAAATGTTGTATGAAAACCCCCATATTAAAATCTTTATTTATAACTGCAAAAATATCATCTACATACCTAACCCAAATTTTTGGAAAATCACCATAAGTGTATTTTAAATTCGTTTCAAACCTACTCATGAAAAGTTCTGCTAAAAATGGTGATAGCGGATTTCCCATTGCTGTGCCCTCAGTTTTCTCATAAAAATGNATAGCGGATTTCCCATTGCTGTGCCCTCAGTTTGCTCATAAAATTTATTTTGAAACTGAAAAACATTTTGACTCATACATAACTTTGTTAAATTAATAAGCTCATTTATTTTATCCTGTTCAATGTTTTGGTCCTTTAGCCAGTCTTTAAGAAAATCAATTGTTATATTTATTGGAATATTCGGAAATAAGGCAACTACGTCAAAAGAAATTAACCTGTCATTATTTTGAATGGTATAACCAGATAATTTTTTAACTAAGTCAACATTATTTTTAACTGCAAAGCTTTCGAATTTTTTGAAAGATGAAAATACCCTTAGCCAAATTGTAAGTCGGAGCATTAATATTCGACACAATAGGTCTCATAGTACTTCTTGGCTTTTGTATTTTTGGCAAAGCATATAGTTTAGGTATTTGAGGGTTTGAAATTTTAATGAAAAACCTGAACTTTTCTTCGATTATTAATTTTGAACTATTTATGACGTTTGTAGCCTCCCTTATCATTTTACTTAATGGATTCTTTTTAATTTCTTTATAAGGACCCTCTTGAATCATTCTTGATACTCTTTCATAATAATCTTCTTTCTTTAGTATTACAACAGAATTCCCCTTATCTGACTTTAAATTAAAACAGTTTTTCTTTTTTAAGTCATTTATGAGTCGTGAATGTTTTTCATTTTTTCCTAAACCCCCTTTATTTATAACAGAATTTTTTTGTAGAAAATTTAAACACTCCCTTCTTGCTAAGTCTTGATTATTAAAATCAACACTTTTAACCCCCATTTCAATGAAAAAAATGACAAAATTTACCGATTTATAAATTTGTAATTTTTTTGGATATCTCCCCCTTTTGCGGATAACGAGGGAAAATTTTTCAATTTTTAAGGGTAATCTATTCAACTAGATACGATTTGTGATCTTTTGACGTATTGTTGAAAGAAATCGGTCCAGTGAGAGTTGGGAAAAAGTGGCAACAGACATAAAAAAAAAAAACATCATAGTAAAATTAATACCTTCTCAGCTTTGCGTCGAAGCTAAAATATATTCTGTTGAAATATTTCCATAATATGCACACAAAATAATTTTTTAAATATTTGTTTATGTATATTTTGAGAATATATTAAAAAGAATAAATACCGAATATTACACTAAAAATATTTCTACAATGTGTTTAAAAAAATTTTTAAACTCATTGTAGAAAGTTTTTTATAATTTTTATTTTGAACAATTAATTTATAATTTTTTATGGAAATAACAATTTGATTAGTATAAGATAATTTATCACCGGTTAACATTAATATATCATTAAATTAATTATATAAATTATTAATAGACTACTTTTTTTTGCCGTTTAAATTATTTAATTTAAGGTTTTGATATAAAAGAGTTAATCTATTATTATTATTAATATTAACATTATTATATATATCGCATAATTATCTTTGATTTCTGTTACACAACTTCCAATAAAAACATTTTCATTAATTACTATAGGATCATATATAATTCTAGTTGTATAATTAGTATGGGTCGTTTTCACTTTAATGATTCTGACAAGCCTAATTTCATAAATTAATGTGAACTTCTCACGAGTAAAAATAAAATTTAGCATTTTTTTTGAGATCAAACAATTGTACTATAGACCGCGTAAAAGAGTACGATTTAATATTACGATATCTCGGCGCCAGGATTATATTTGGATTTGCATTAAAATCAGGATGTACTAGGGATGTTTATCTCTTATTGCAACACGAGTTATCATGTCTATTTTGAATTTTTGTGTTGTTTTTAAAACCTATCAATGTAAAAATATCCAACAAAATAAAAATTTTTCCCTATTTCATAATCACTATTCATATTTTCACTAGAGTACTGAAGACAAGGTCCCCATTTGCGAGGTTTTACCATTTAATATTTTTTTTTTTATTATTATCTATATAATTATAATTATAATTGTAACAATGAATACATTACGAGGAAGTGAATTTTTTTTAATTATGGTATTAACAAAAGAGAAATTTTTTAGATTCCACCGTTTTTCGAAGGATGATCGATCGATTTAAATGGTATTAAACTCTGGTATGCATAAAGTACTTTTGTAATTTATGAAGAGTAATTTTAAAAAAATTAATTTTTATATTTTTAACCAATTACTGAACCATTAAAAATAATACTTGTTGTGGTTGATGATTTTTACCGCACTCGCATGGGGTTAAAGTACTAAAGAAAAGAAACACAACACCTTTTTTTGGTTCCAAGTAATGTTGTAAGATTTATTTGATGTTGAACAAAACTTTAGATTGCTTTATATAAAATGTATAACAGAAACAAAACACAGTAAGCAGTTTTGACGGAAGATATATACATGTGTGTACGCGGAGACATTATATCGTAACGGCGTGTTCGGCGCTGTGTTGCTGACGGCGAGCGATCCAATCAGTACGGTGTCACGGAGATGACTTGACGTATATTTGCGGCGGGTCGTAGATGGACGTGCGGCACTTGCTGATCTTTGTACCGTGGCGTATCGCACGCGGTGTTAGTCAGTCAAACTACCATATGCACGTAGTAGGGCGACGGCTTATAAAGGTGTCACGGGTCGCGGGGCTCCGTGTATAGAGAACGCCGCGGGACCGTGTCATACTTTGTAAGCTAAACTTACAAGGACCCCAAGGAGGTCAAAAAACCTCGTCTATAAATTAAACAGAACAGAGAGAAAAAAAAAAATACTGGTTACACCTACACTTTTATTGTTATACAATACGATGAACGTCTTTGGGTACTCACCGGCTATTAAGCACGGCGGGTATACGCCCCAAGTAAGCAACTGGTTTTAGGCAGTTAGACTTAGCTTGCAAGACCTTGGGACACCCCGGAATAAAATGCACTAAGTCACCACATTGTACTAATGATATATACACATCATCCCAGAAAACATAATATAAAACCTATATAAAAAAATCACAAAAATATATAGATATAACATGACAGGTGGCTTGTAACACACCTGCAATGTTGCTGGACCTAAATAATAAAAAAAATAAGGACACCAACACTAAAAAAACTATAAAAAAAATTCACCACACGTGCTTATGGCACAACGCACAAAAAAAATAATCGGGCTCAAAACATTAAATACTAACTATACATTAGCCCCGAAAGGCTAAAGAATATGAGGCAGGCTCAACCGACGCCAATAAAAAAAATCACATTAAATAACCAACAGCGGGCACTCGCGACAAAAAATATATATTATGTTAAAATGTTGCAGCACACACAACAACAAAAAACTTACGCTACGGACGGGAAATAGTGCGACCAGTTCTGACTATTAGTTATAATTCCCCGACAAAACTTCCTTCGTTTGACCCGGCGGTCCGATGGCGACAACACGGCTAGCCTTTAGAGTGGGGTCAACAAATTTTAATACTAAGCGCCGGAAATTATTAAGAAAAAATTGAATTATCACATATCATAAGGCGCCCGTTTCGCTGCGCTACAGTGTCGGTGTGATCGGGCTCTACGGGGCTACGAAACGTCGGCACGAGCGCAGTTTCCCTAGCTCGGGGAATCGGGCGCGTCCTCAGGTTGCGGATAGAGGAACGGCCTGTAGATATGCAGGTTAGCCGCGAAATAAGCAGTCCAATAATTTGGACTGACGAATAAGCGGTCGCGGACAGCGAGCCCCTCGTTCGCTCGTTAACCCTGCAGATATGCAGGGTAGCCGTGAAATAAGCCACATTAAAGTGGACGAATAAGCGGTAGCGATCGAGGGTAATTTCACAACGGGCAGGTGGGCCCGATAGCCTGGTAAGGCTACCACCTAGGTGAAGGTAACATCGAAAACAAATCCCCTGGCGGCAGGTAAAACGCAGGGAAGGACACCTTCAAAACCAAATATGGAAGGACACCAGGATAAAAAAACTGTTACGGTGCCAGGAGTTTCGGAGACTCCAGGACCGGCTGGGGAGAGTGCTAACGCAGGCTTGACCCGGTCGTTATCCAGCGACTGCGGAAAAACCGTTGGACTGTTGAGGCAGGGTCCAGGGGGCGTTCGCGCCCAAGTTACTGCTGGAGGATGTGGGGAGCAAGCATCCTCCGGTGTCCTTAGGGACACCGAGGTTACTGCCGGAAGTGTAGATCTCAACCGCGATGTGGTAGATGAGTGGTCGGGCATCAGGGGTCGTTTCTGTAACGACATCCCTATGTCCCGCTCTGAATTTGACAGATGGTCAAACCTAGAGAACCTAGAAGGCGTACGGATGGAGTGTTTTCCGCACGGGGGTTTCCGGTCGCCCGCAGACTTTCGCAGTTCGGTGACCTCCATCCTCAGAATGATGAGAGATGACCTCTCCGCCGGTGTAGGGTTTAGTCCCGAACGGGTTATACCTTATAACCCCTTTGAGGGGATAGAGGAAGAGGAAGAAAGGGCCAACCTTATGTCTCGCTGCGTGTCGGCACTGAGGGGCGGTAGCGACACCGCGACCGACCGTGTCGTGCAAGCCACCAAGCTCGCCCTCAGCGAGATCTTGTCCCGGCACATGAGTAACCCTACTCTTGTCGCCGCAGGCACGGGTCTTGGAGATGCAGTGGACGCATACGAGTATGCCAGCTGGTTAGCCCAGAAGGAAAGTGCTTCGGGATACTCACCCGTGGAGGGACCTAGTCTGCCCGAACTGGTGAGCGGTCCAAACACCGATGAAGATGATGTGATGCGTACTGGTCACGGACCAGGCGGGGAGGAAGCTGAGCCTTCGTTAGGAGAAGAAGGCGCATCGCAGAAACGGTCTCCAGCACTCAGCCCCCTCCGGATGGAGACGCCCCCAAAGCGTCATCCAGGGAAGAGGAGGGCGGTGGTACGGGAAGACGAGAGTGATGATGAGGAGACGTTTGACGCTGGCCTCAACCACCTCGTCTCTCTCTCAAGAGCCGCGGAGGTAGAGGGAAGCCTCATGAAGGAGGTGCCAAATACTCATTTGGCATTCCTTCTTGAGCAGATAGCCCTGTCGTGCCAGGCTTTGACTGAGTTAAGAAGCTCAGCTGAACCACGCTGGAAAAGGAGGAATGACACTGCGGAGGAAATGACTGCGACTCCGACCATGGTCAACGAAGTCGCCGACCAAGTCAGAGTACTCCGTGGTGTCATCGACAAACGGAGAGGTATGGGAGTCCATAGAGAGGTCCAGGAAGCGACAAAGAAACTCGAAGCGGTACTGGAGGGAGAGAGGAGAAGAAAGCCATCGTCAAGAGTTGGGGTCCATCAGGCCCCACCCGATGAAAGAGCAATGCTGGGTCGGGTTGAGAAGGTACCCACCAAGGAAGCGGGAACACAAACGGAGCACCCCGAGGCTGCAGTGAGCGCCAGCGAACTGAGCACCGGAGTCGCTGCGTCGAATACCCTTGGGGAGAGCGCACCGGACGGCGACCTGCCTCCCACCGCCAAGGTGGTCAAACGGGTACGGAAACGCAGGCGTAAGAAAGCTAATGGCAGGAACGATGGTGAAGCGGGTGTCGCCCCACAATCGCAGACTGCGGTTGCGGCGGGCGTCCCAGAACGTGGTAGCGCCTGCGGTGCCACCGCAAGATACGTGGTCGGACGTAGTCCGCCGTAAGGCTCCTAACCGGTCGGCGAAACCTCGTCCAAACCCCGAACCTCTCGTCTCAGCGCGGAGACCCGTCATAAAGGCGAATGCCCCGCGAACCGAGGCCGTTGTTATCGGTCCTCTTAAAGAGGACCAAAAATATTCGGTCGTGGTCAAGAGGGTAATGGAAGGCGTCGATCTTCAGGCGCTGGGCGTTGTGGTTTCCGGTACCCGCAGGACCAAGACGGGAGCGGTGCTCCTGGAGGTCCCGGGAACCGGTGCCCAGGCCGACCTGCTGGCCGCCAAGGTCAGCGAGGCGTTGGACGGCATGGACGTTCGCGTACATCGCCCAGTGATGTCCGCGGCGTTCATGCTGTTAGACGTGGAAGAGTGGATAGTGGAAGAGGACGTCGTAGGGGCGTTGACCACTATCCTCTCGAAAGAAGGGGTTGGTGTGTCGGTCGGTGCGGTGTCAGTCCGACTTCATGGTAGTGGTAAGGGCCGCTACGCGTGGTGCGAGGTCCCCATCAGGGCCTCGCAACCGCTGATCGGACTGACACGGCTCCGGGTGGGATGGGGCACGTGTCGGATCCGGGTCCCACAGGATAAGGGACCGCGCTGTTACAGGTGCCTCGAAAGGGGTCACGTGCAAACGGCCTGTAACGGCGTCGATCGGACCGGTGCGTGTTTCACGTGCAGGGCAGCGGGTCACACGGCGAGGGATTGCCCCAATAAGGTGGGAGGAAAGGATAGGCCTACTTAGGGTATCTCCCGTTCTCCTCACCGTTTGTGTATGTTTCTATGTGTTTGTGAA